GGGGCCGGGAGCCAGCACAGAGACATGGACAAGCTGAGAGGTGGGCAGATCATAGAGTTCACAGACAGCCAGGGATATATAGATAAGCCCTGCCTCAAAACCAAAAACAAACAAAATCAAAAACAAGGCCGGGCGTTGGTGGTGCACGCCTTTAATCCCAGCACTCGGGAGGCAGAGGCAGGAGGATATCTGTGAGTTCGAGGCCAGCCTGGTCTACAGAGCAAGTTCCAGGATAGGCTCCAAAGCTACACAGAGAAACCCTGTCTCGAAACCCCCCTCCCCCCCAAAAAAAAAAACAAATCAAAAACAACAAAAGAAACTAGAACAAAAGAAGTCCTTCTGACAGCCTGTTTTGACACTTGAGCTGCTTTAGAAATCAAAGCACAGAGCCTGTGGTGTTGGCCCTCACCTGTAATCCTAGCATTTAGGAGGTGAAAGCAGTACTAGGATTGTGAGTTCTAGGCCAACCTGGGCTACTTGAGACCCCCGGACTCAAACAAAACAAAACCCATCAACCAGAGTCTAGCCCAGGCTGCATACCTATATGGGAAAAGTCAATCAGTCCTGGTGTGGAAGTACTCTGTTAATCCCCAGCAATGTCAGACCAGTCTGGACAGCAAGTTCCAGGCCAGCAAGAGCTACACAATGAAACCCTGCCTCAAAATAAGTAAGTCATAAATTTCCTTTTTTATGTGCATGTGTGTTTTGCCTGTATGTATGCTGGGATTACACTAATGAGCCACCACATTTAACATACTCTTTTGTGTATGTACCTGTGTATGCACATATGTGTGTAAGCATGTATGCATGCATATGCACATGTATGGAAGCTAGAGGCTTCAATCACGCTCTATCTTTTTAAAAACTTATCTATTATGTATACAGTGTTCTGCCTGCATGCCAGAAGAGGGCACCAGATCTCATTACAGAGTGACTGTGTGGTTGCTAGGCATTGAACTCATGACCCCTGGAAGAGTGGCCACCACTGCTCTTAACCTCTGACTGAAAGGTTCAGGCATTATGCTGGCCTGCCCCTGTTAGCTGGTGGTCAGCCCAGGGTTCCATGAGAACCAAGTCTGCACACAGGTCCAGAGGACCCCTTTAATCCCTGCCCATTTACACTTCTCTCTCTTCCTCTCTGCTTCTGCTCTTCTCTTCTGTCTCTTTATGCTCTCTCTGCCTCTCTATGGCGACCGGCCATGGCGGTCAGCCATTTACCCTGTTTCTCTTCTCTCTTAGTCTCTCTACTCTGCCGGGCCTAAAATAAACTGGTTAATATGTCTAATATGTCTTTTAGTCTTATGTCTCATATGTCTCTTTTCGTCTTGAATTTTCTAATTTAAGCAAAAATTTAACACTGACCATCTTGTTTTTTTGTTTTTTTCCCTTGAGACAGTGTTTCTCACTGGGCTAACCAATTTGTAGGCTTGCTGGTTAAAAATACCCAAGAGTTTTTTGTGTCTACTAAAGTGCTGGGATTACAGGGACTTGTTGCTGTGCCCACATTTGTTTATTTGTTTGTTTGTTTGTTTTTTCAAGACAGGGTTTCTGTATGTAGCCCTGACTATCCTGGAACTTGCTTTGTAGATCAGGGTGGCCTCTAACTCACAGAAATCTGCCTGCCTCTGCCTCCTGAGTGCTGGGATTAATAGGCGTGCACCACCTCACCCGGCCACTGTGCCCAGGTTTTACAGTGATTCGGACGAACTAAACTTAGGTCATGTGCTTGGACAGCAAATACTGTACCAATGAAACCACCTTCTTAGTCCACATTTATTTTGTTTTTGGTGGTGGTGGGAATTGAACGCTGTTTCTCCACAATCAAGAGCAAGGTAAAACCAGGCATGGGGAGAGAAGGCTAGATGGACAAGAGAGGAACAAGTGCGGTGGAGGAAGAGGCAGGGGTTAGAGTTCAGAGACAATGCATATTGTTTAGCTTGTTAATAAATACTAGCTGAACTGGCAAATAACAATGACTAAGATGGGCACTAATTATAGTCGAGAGACAGGATGGGCCTCCTTAGTTTCTGAGGTGTCGTCCAATGGGGCTTTATTGTGTAGCTGCCACTAGAGGGGAGCCCCAGGCTTTTCTGTAAAGGCACAGACAGCCTTACCTTGGTCTTGTGGAATCATTGAAGCACTGTCCAAAGGACACATGACCAAGCTACCTGAGGCTTGTATTTGTCCTTTGAAAATTGTGGATAACAAAATAGCAAAATGGGTCAAATCTGTGCTTGGAACTCAGCCTACTCCTTCAGTTGTCTCACCCTTTCCCCTGCAGACGGGTGGGAGTAGGGGATGAACAGAGAGCTCTCTACCTGACACTGCTTTCCAAGTGCTGCAGTTAAAGGTGTGGGCAACTATGCCCAGCATAAATTTCTTTAAAAGAGTGCAGTTGTGTGATGCCCTTTTGCTACAGACTTGCTGGCTTTCCCCACTTGCCTTGTGTGGTTGCTATGCTTTGTTCAGCCTCCTTCCACCCAGGGTTTCCTGGGGCAGCTGAAGGGAGCAGGCTGAGGCAGAGGAACCCATGGCACCATGGCTTTCTTCAGGCCTCGTTTACTTTGAGTGGGCAGATTTGCTTTTGAAATTCTTCAAGATTTTCGTTTTGTTTTGTGTTTTTTTGTTTTTGTTTTTGTTTTTCGAGACAGAGTTTCTCTGTGGCTTTGGAGGCTGTCCTGGAACTAGCTCTTGTAGACCAGGCTGGTCTCGAACTCACAGAGATCCACCTGCCTCTGCCTCCCGAGTACTGGAACTAAGGCATGTGCCACCACTGCCTGCTCAGGATTTTTTTAAATGTTAGTTTTATTTATTTTGTGTCTGGGTGTTTTGCATGCCTGTATGTGTATACCTGGTGCCAGAGGGCATTGGATCTCCTAGAACTGGAGCTATGGATGGTTGTGGATTGCCTGCCATGTGGATGCTGGGAATCACAACTGGGCCCTCTGTAAGAACAGGTGCTCTTAACTGCTGAGATGTCCCCATTTTTAGGGGTTTACTTGTTGGTTGGTTGTTTTTTGTTTTTTTGAGACAGAGTTTTTCTGTGTAATAGTCTGGCTGTCATAGAACTCATCTGTAGACCAGGCTGGCTTCAAACTCAAGAGATCTGCCTCCTGAGTGCTGGGACTAAAGGCTTGCACCACCACTGCCTTTACTCCCAGTTTTTAATTTTTTTGAGATGGGGTCTAGTGTAGCTCAGGCTAGCTTCACTGTGTAGCCGAGGTTACCCTAAATTTCTGATCTTCTGCTTCTACCTCCAAAGTACTGGGGTCCCAAGTACGCAGGCCACCACACCTCAATTCCAGTTTGGTTTTATCTTTTGGGGACAAGCATCAAACACACTTACAACTTTTTGTCACATAGAGAGGTTTGAAAGGTGCAGCGATGGCTGCTCCTGTGTCCTCCAGCCTCCTGTTCTGAGCCATTAGCTACTCCAACACAGAGAGGGCACGGCTTAGCACACAGGGCATTCTTCTCTCCTCCGTTTTCCCCACAGCACATTGCTTTATAGCAATTCTTCATTTCTACCCAGAAGTCTTTGCTGCGTATATCCTTGGCTAAATTCCTCATCCTGTGCTAGCATGACAGCCTGTGGCCCATTGTGCATGGGAAAATTCACTTCCTCCTTCCTTCCGTGTGTGTGTGTGTGTGTGTGTGTGTGTGTGTGTGTGTGTGTGTGTGTATACTTGATCATGTGTGTACATATGTGTCAAGGACAAGCCCTCCTCACACAGTAGTGGTGGCTATGATAGCCTTCAATTCTGATGTCTCCTCTGGCTTATATAAAAGGTAAACTTGGTTGGCTATGCGCTTACACCGAGGTAGACGAGTCAGATTCCTGTTGTCTGAAGTTTGAAGATGAAATTCCTATCCATTGGCTAGTCTGTAGTGATACACATTTATAATCCCAACACTTGAGGGATGGAGGCTAGGAGTATCAGAAGTTCAAGGTCAACCTCGATTACATAGTTGAGTTTGAGGCCAGCCTTCCATACAGGAACAGGAGGACCCTGTCTGAAAACCCCAATGTGAGGAAGAAACAAAGACATTCTCAGATAAACAAGCCAAGGAAATGTTTTGATAGTATAACAAGCCTCAGAAACTGCTTTTGCTACAAAGCACTGACTCCTCTTCAGGCCACAACTAAAAGTAGGCAAGGACAGTACGATAGATGGCTCAGCAGTACTCAGTAGGCCTGTGACCCGTGACCTGAGTTCAATCCCATATGAAGGAAGCAATGACCAACTCCTGAAAGTTGCCTTCTGACTTCCACATTGGTGCTGTGGCACTCAAGTGACTTCAGTCATACACATATGACACACAAATAAGTATGGTTTTTTGTTTTGTTTTGTTTTAAATAGAAGCAGGCAGCAAGGGTGGTGGCATATGTCTTTAATCCTAGCACTTGGGAGGCAGAGACAGGAGGATCTCTGTAGTTGAGGTCAGGACAGCCAGGGCTACATAGAGAAACTCTGTCTTGAAACACCAAAAAAAAAAAAAAAAAAAAAAAAAAAAAAAAAAGAAAA